TCACGACTACCTTGGAATAGACCTTGGCTCGGAGTTCTGATTCAGACGCCTGGAACACACCAAACTGGCCGCGAAGATTCTCCAGCTGATTCATTACCTGGAAAAAACACAGAATGCAGAAAAAAGGGCATCCACTTATAAGCCACAACCCAATCGGTTCCAGCCAAGATCTCCTCAAACTGCTCCCGCCGCACCTGGGCGGCCTCGCTCCGGAGACCAGCGCGGCGCAATGCAGAACGAGCGGCGGCACTGAACGGTCTCCGCTGGCGGGAGCGACCGATGCCTTCAGCTGATGCATCATCTCGGGGCCATGGGAGCGCCGCGGGCTGCCGGCGAGCAGCTGGGGGCCATCGCGCTCCGCCTTCAGCGCTTCATCCGTCGCAGTGTGGCACTGCGCGACAAAGCTTGGGACAGGCTGTGTAAACGTGTTATACGTCAGCATGCCCATGCTTAAACCAAGCTGAAGCCCTGGAGCGTGCCAGCACCGTTTTTTGATGTTCTTGAATTGGCTTGGGCCAGGATAGAGCACGAGCGTTCAGACCTATTTATATATATATATATATGTATATATATATATATATATATGTATTCCGAGGCACTTCGTTGCCTGCGCGATTTTGAAGCGCTCAGCCCGAAGCCCACGGGCAAGACACTTAGCCGGAACCGACGAGAGGTCGAAGCCCCTGGGGAACACAATGCACGTTTTCTCCAGGTGGATAACGAGGCCGGAGACCCTGGATGCCAACGCATGCTGGCGAAGAACTTTCGGAAGAACAGCGGAGATGTCGCGTGCGACCGCTCCCTGGTCATCAGCGAAGACCAGGCAATCGGAGAGGTCGTGCTTCAAACAACTCAGCACATATCGGTTGATGCAGTCTGTGGCGACGGCAAATTTGGCACCTGACCTAGGGCAGCCCTGTTTCACACCTCTTGAAACCTCAAAGCAATGGTCCCGGCGCCCGCGGAACCGAACACGAACCCGAATACCAATGTAAAGGCCCCCGACAGCACGCGCATGCCAGGGCGGAACCTAGACTGCCTCAACGACTGCAAAGATCCATTCATGAGAAATGCTCGGGGGCGCGGCTTCCACGCCCAGGGGCGCTGCCCCAGAGCCCTGGCGCCCGTCAAGCACGGACCGTAGGAGCGGCTGCGCATCAAGGTGAAGCACAATGTCCAACAACTGATGGCCTCTGACACAGCCGCGCTGGCACTGGTGAACACTTCTAGCAGCGCAGTCCGACATCGGCGATGCGAGACAGGAAGCTATGATCTTGCAATCCGTGTTTGACAACGCTAGGGGTCGGGTAGCTCCAGGCACGCGGTTTTGTTCAAGTTGCCCCCCCCATGTCTCCCTTAGGCAAGAACGCAGCAATGCTTGCGACAAACTCCCCAGGGCCCCACTCCCCCTCGCATGCAAAAAGGTGCATATCATAAAGCGCTAGCTGGGCAAGATGACCTCCATTCTGCCGTGCGCTGCATGGGCCCCATCTCCTCCGGGCGATGAATCTGGGCTGCGCGCGAGGAGCTCAAGGGTCGCCGTGGGCGGGATCTGCCGCTGGATATCATCAAGGGCCTTCTGCGCATGCCTGAGATACCGAAAAAATCGCGTGTACAACCGGTTTGCGCGCAGACACCTCACCCCAATACTTCGCAAGAATACGTGTGCACACTTCGGGATCATGATGTTGTGCGCCACATTGATCTGTAATTGTCTGAAGAGTGATGCGTTTGTGCGTCGGGCTCACGCAGCTGCGCGATCCCGAACGCGGGCAGACCGCCCGTCGCGAACACTGCAAGGAACACGCTCCTGCTGCATTTCCGCTTCCAATCTCTCGTAGCGCGTGGCATGGGGGGAAGCAAGATGCCGATGAAGCCCGTTCCTATCAAGCCGCCTCCACGATTCCGTAGAGGAAAATTCGGTCAACACCTGTTACGCAGCCACCGCCCTCTGGGCGAGGCGAGACTGGCCGCGTCGAACCCCTCGAACCAAAGCTAAACGCCAAGTTTTTGTTTTTTTCCAGGTTGGTCTCAGGCCCCAGGACCTCCTTCTCCCGCTGGACTTTCTTGGAAACAGAGAACAGCAAGGTTGTGACCTCAGCCAGACGGGTCGGCGGGTGCGTGAACAGCTCCACTTCTCGAAGCTCAGCATCCAGCCACGCGGCAAACAGAGGCGACTGGCTTGCCCGCGAAGGAATTCGGGGAGCACATCTAACTTCTGGATGCCGCAATGCACAGAATACTGGAGCATGATCGCTCGGCAAGTGGCCGTCGAACACGCTGCGCCCGACACCTGCAAGCGGACATAAGTCGAGGATCTCCTCGGCATACAGGAGCAATATTCTACCGAGCCTAGCCGCAGAATCACTTTGCCCATGGCTGCAGTAGGCCCTATGTGTCGGATCAGTTTGGAACAGTTCGGCGTGCCAAGGAAATTGTTCAGCGAAAAACCGAGCCAGTCCAGGATTGCTTTCACAGTATTGCCATCAAGCCTGTGGCGGACCTAACCAACCTCCGACAAGTTTGTTTTAAAAAGAAAAAAAAACAGATACAATTCGCACACTGTGGTAGAGGAGGAGGACGGCGGTTCAGATGTTGGAGGAAAGCCTTCTTGTGCGAGAAGGGGATGGTAGGGCCGAGGTGGATATTTGCAACTGCCATAGCCTGCCCCTGCTTTCGCAGGTGAACAATCGTGAGCCCGCCGAGGATCACATTCTCCAACCAGATCTGCTCAAACTGGTTGCAGACCCGCTCGTGCACAATAGTGAGATAACCGCCAGCGGCAGCACTCGGACAGTAGGACTCATAGACACGATGGTGGGGGAGTTTACGCATGAGGGTACCGGTATCAGTTTCATCACCATGAGATTCTTGTATAAGCATAATATCATGTTGATTTACATACTTGTGTAACTTGCTAAACATAATCCTGCGCTCGCCATGCACGCTGCCAAAAAGAGCCCGGGAGTTCCAGGTCGCAAGGGATGGAGAAGAGGCGGGGGCAAGAGGAACAGACTGGGGAGAACACACATGCCTGCAACTGTTGGTCTCAGGACTACTCGTAGCCGAGGACGAGGCCGCCGCCGAAGGGGGAGGAGTAGAACACCTTGCCGAGCTCCCAGTAGCTCCGGACCCGGTGCTCTGGCCAAAATGGCCGCGATGATCTTCTGTAGTGCGATGTGCAGTAGCAGCCTCTCCTAGATGCCAAAAAGCCGCGGATCCTTCGCAACCGCCGATCGCATCTCTTCTACCTTGGCACTTGGGATACCCCGCGCCTCCAGGTTCTGCATATTCGGGTCGAAGCTGAAACCAAACTGCTCATTGCCACGGATGGTGAACAATTCCCATACTTCATCGTCCGTAAAGAGATTGATGAGGCCCTGGTAGCCGTTGACGCCAAGACGGCTGCTGCCCAAAGTACCAGGAGGGCCGCCCTTCAAGAGCTCGAGTGTCTTCGTGTAGATCGTCGACGCCGCTCGTTGCTTGGCACGTACATCCAATGAAAGATCCGATCTGCTGCGAATGTTGTGCGACACCCTCGTGCGCTTGTCGATCCAAACGATGTCGGCGCTGGCGATCAGGTCCTGGTGCCTCTTCGCCAAGCGCTCGCTGGTGAAGATCAGCTGGTAGCTCTTCGCCGAGCCAGTGAACTTTGTGTTGCATCCGTCGACCACTTCCTGCGGTAGGTGTGGCAGTACGTTGGTCCGCCAGTGTTCTTCCATCTCCTTGCCGAGCAGCGTCCTCGGGAAGGTGCCAATGAACCGCTTGCATGGGTCGCTCGGTCGGGCCTCTCCACGCCTCAACTTGCCGTCCGCGCCTGCCATGCGTGTGTAGCCAGCTGCGGAACCAATGCTCGATGGAGCATACCAACTCGCTGCTGCACGACTCTCATTGACCTGCGACTGGAGAGACCCGAATGAGGCGTCAAACTCAGCCACTTTCTTGTCAAATATGCACTCAATCTGCTGCACGTCGCCTTCCAGGCTAGCTTGCATCCGCGTGAGATTGTCAAGCTTCGCATCCGTGTCCGCCTTGGCGGAGTTCATCTTGGCACCCAATTATTGTCACATTTTCGCCAGCAGCGCCTTCAACTCATCACCAGTGATGGACGCCATCGCGAAGATCTGACTTGTCTGGTGAGCCGCTGCTCCGAACGGGGGGGGCACAGGCCAGGCGCCTCCCTGGCAATCCCTGGGGCCTCCCTGTCGGCTGCGACCAAGGCTCTAGCTTCAGGGCAAGTTAGAACCTTGAGCCAAAATGGATGCGGTATGATGATGATGATGATGATGATGATGATGATGATGATGATGATGCTGGTGATGAAGATGATGATGATGGTCGATGGCCGGTGCTGCTGGTGATCGATGGTGAGTGACTGCGTAGGATGAAGATGATGATGATGGTGGTGATGAGGATGACCGGTAGTGATGACGACCGATGATGGGGTGAGTGCGCGAGTGAGGCGGTGGGTGGGAGGGAGGTGTTCCGGCGCGGAGGGTGCCCAGAGAAAAGAAAAACCCCACTTCGGAAAAGGGGAGATGCCTACGTTCAACGACCGAGGGGCGACCGTAGACCGGGGCAGGCGTGGCCTCTGGTGCGCGGCTTTCGGAAAAGCGCGGGGGGGCAAGACCCAATTGCGCAGGGCAGATGCCCCGGATAATGTTCGAATAACAAGAACAATGTCCTTAGACCATAAGCCCGATGTGTGAAAACAAAACAACCTCAGCCAGACATGTTCTAAGAACATTTCGAGCGTGACCCGTCCCCCTGAGCGGCTCGCTCCCTGCGCCTCCTCTTTCGGCCGCCTCCTGTGTTTTCCCCCTACCTCCTGCATGGTGGCACACTTCGCTACAACGGTATCCCAGTTTGTACAGCCCTCTGCCCGCGCAGACGTCCCCTGCCTAGCCGCCGACGCTGAAAAGTTTCTCGGCGATCGGGGACGCCAGTGGGCCCGCACCACAGGCCACTCTTGCGAACGATCACTTTTAAGTGCAGTCGGCCTTACGATCACAGAGCTACGCTTGCGGTCCGAGCTGAAGGGCAACTCGAAGAGCTGCACGAAGGTGCGCTGCCTCTGAAGGACATGCAGCGTATAAGTACAAGCCGTCGAAAACCCGCGGCGGAGTTTCATATCTTCGTTTGATCCTCCGCGCCCCAGGGAGAGGGGGACGGATCCGAGAAATCCGCGCGGGCCTCTGACAACGTATGTCTGCACAACTGCCCTTCTTCGACGCCTGTCTCCCGGCCCGTGCACGACCAGCTCGGACGAGGAGCCCGCGTACTTGCGCTTGCGCCCCTTGAACACGATCCCCACCTTGGCGGCCGCGTACACCAGCGCCACCTCGTCTGGCGATGCCCCAGAATATTGCTCAGTGGGTCCGAGACAATCCGCCGCGGGAGCCTCTCCCGTGCTGGCGGGCTCCGCGGCCGGTTTGGGATTCACCCGCTGCTTCACGACGCTGTGGCAGACCGCGAGACAGGTGAAGAAGTCCACCACGTTGGTGAAAGTCTGTTCTTCAGCTCCTGGTCCCCGACTGACCATCTCGGCCGCTTCGTCAATGTCTACACCTTCACGGGATCAGCCAGCACCGCAGCGGGAAGTCGGATCGAATCGGGACGTGCGTCGGATCACGCCGCATCGGAACGGAGCGGGGACCGGATCCAGGCTGCACAAGCGCCCCGTGCAAGCGTCGAGCGGCACTGGATCGCCCGAGATCTCGGGATCGACTCGCATCGGGCTGGCAGGAACTCGGTATCGGATCGGGCCGGTTGGATCCAAGTGGGCCCTGCACCTGCACTGGCCTCGCTCCCCATGCCCGTCAGCTTCTTCTGCATCTGGGTGCGCGGCGACCCCTCCACCAGACCTGTGTCGATCACGCGCCTCTCGCGGACGTCCCCAAAAGGGGGGCTCGCAAAGCGTGGCCCAGGGCATGTGCGCGGACGAGGGGGGGGAGACTGGGGAACGCAGTGACGGAAGAAGAGAGGGCCATGACATCAGGGGAGGGCTCATGGCCGTGGCCGTGGTATCCCTCCCCCGCACATCGGTCGGAAGGAGTGGGTACAAACATGACATAAGAAGGCGTTGCGTGTAGATCGGGTTTCCACCCGCACCCCGATGAGGAGGGAGGAGGGAAAGATACTCCATCCTTGAAGTAGGTAGGAAGGTGCCTGAAGTAGATTGGGATCTGGGAGTCCGAGCAACCGATAGGTGGCCATCGGCCCCTTCGTGGCCGCCCACGAGCCTCACCCTCTCAAGCCCCTCCGCGGAGTCGCCCCGGAACTCGCCCATGTTGAGGCCGTTGATGTCGCATTGCGCGAAGACCATTTCATTGCGGGTCAGGGTGCCGGTCTTGTCGGAGAATATGAAGCTGATCTGCCCCATCTCCTCCATGAGGTCCGCGGTCCGCGGGACCGCGCCCTCGCCGGTGTCGGGGTCGATCATCTGCTTATCGGACGCCAGGAGGTAGCCGAGGAACAGCTTCAGCATCTCGTACACCACGTACAGGCTGAGCGGCACTATGTGGTAGAAAATGATGGTGAACTTGAAGAACATGATGAAGGGGTGGTCGTTGTCGCCAGTGTGCTCGGAGATGGTCCCATCACCTGCCTCGTACACGATTGTTGACGCGATGCATAAGGTGAATAGAAAAACGAGCAACCCGACGATGACCTGGTTTAGGTGACTCTGCATGTTGGAGAACTTGTTCACACGGCCCCTCACAATCCCGCTCTTTCCCCTTCTCTCCATGCCCACTCCGCCGCCGCCTTGTCCTCCTCCTCCTCCTCCTCCTCCTCCTTCTCCTCCTCCTCCTCCTCACCTTAACCACCACCATCACCATTACCATCATCATCATCATCATCATCATCATCATCATCATCATCATCATCATCATCGTCATCATCGACATCATCATCATCATAATCAGCATCAGCATCAGCATCAACATCATCATCATCACGATCATCACCATCACCATCACAATCGCCATTGCCATCATAACCATCTTGATCCACATCCTCTCCCTCTCCCTCTCCCTCACCCTCATCATCATCATCATCATCACCACCACCCGCACCATCGCCATCACCATAATCATGATCATGATCATGATCATGATCATCGTCATCATCGTCAACAACAACACTATCAACCCATCTTCAAAACCGCTCCCCCGACACCCTGTCCTCAACCGCGTTCTGACCAGCATGTGGCGCCGTGTACCCGAGGGTCCCCTGAGAGAGCCACACAATACAGGAGGCATCCAACTCCTCTCCTCCTACCCTCCCCTCCTTCCCCCTCCGCCACCACCCCCCATTGCTCCCCCGCCCCTGCCCCTCCGCATCGCGTTCTGCCGGCACTTGGTGTCATCCCCCACGTAGGTGGCGATGCCGATCACCCAGGGCGTGTTCCTCAGAGGGTGGAGGAGGGTACTCGTCGTCGTTGCAGCCACCGTCGTTTTCGTGGTGTCTTCGTCGTCGTCGTCGTCGTCGCTCTTAGACACTTGTCGTGGTCGACCCTTCGAGCCGTCGTCGCCCTCGTCGTCGATCGAAGGGATGAGGAGAGGAGGAAGGACGGGAAGGACGAGGAAGAGAGGGAGGGAGGGAGGGCAGGCTTACCACACGGCGGCTTTGCGCTGAGCGGTTTCGACAAGCAGGGGCTTAGGGAAACGAGGAAGGGTGAGCGGAGAAGGAAGAGGAGGAGAAGACAAAGGACACGAGGAAGGGAACCACATATATCCTCTGATGTTTCGTTCGGTCCGAGAACATCCGACCCCTCCCCCCAGGGATAGCTGTGCGCCCCTGTTGCAATTCTGATGGCCCAGGGCCGAAAACGACACACAGAGGCTAAAACAAGCGAACAACTCACCACGATTAAACAACATGTCGTCGGAAGTCTGCATGGACAAGGGGGTGGGGGGGAACCCCAGAAGCCTGGACCCCTTCCCCAGGACGGGGTGTCGATCCCGAGCCGCCTTCAGACGGCCCATGACTCACTGCGGGCCCCGGATGCCGAGAATGGCTAAGAACCTCCTGCCCTATCTTTTTGACGACGACCAGAAGTCTGGGCAGGGAGAGGGGCGTGATCCTCAGCATGCACCCTCGGGGCAAGAAGTTGATCTCCCCGAATGGGCACACCGCAGTCGCGTCGGCGGACTTGCTCTCGCTACGCGTGTGGATACCACCGCGCACGTCCTGGAGTTGAAGGCGTATGCGGCGCTTTCAATCCTCCTCATCCTCTTATCCTTTCCCTTCTTCGCTTTCTCCTTCTACTTCTCCTCCCCTCCCCTCCCCTTCGTTCCTCCTCCCCCTCTTTCTCATCCCTCCGCCTGCCTTCATCCCCCTCTCATTCTCCTTCCTCCTCCGCCTCGACGATGCGGGGACTAGTGTCAGTTACTCAGCCCTACTTTTCTCCTTCTCCTCCTCCTCCTCCTCCTCCTCCTCATACCCCTCCTTCTCCCCTCCCATCATACCCCCCTCCTCTGTCGCCGCACGCACCTGCCCTCACCATTCTCATCCACACCACTCCCCTTACCATGTGCCTCATTACAGCGAGGTGGGCACTCACACATGTCCGCCGCCTGCGGAGCTGATGGCCCGGGACCCCAGGAAGGCGTGGACATGGCTACGATTAGGCTTAAGTCTGGTGTGTCCCCCTACAGGGGGATTTTCGACGAGAAAAAACATAATACCCACAACATACCCCCAAACGGTCAAAAAACGCTCCAAAAAGTAGTCCCCATACTATGTTTTGACTATGTTTGAATGTCCCTCCTGTTGAGGGACGTGCCCGACATCTTTACCAGCCTCGAACTTATCCCTGCCCCTAAGATTGACACGCCAAAAAGCGATGCCAATCTTAGGGATGCGCCCTCAAAAAACAAGGGAACCCCCAAGATTGGCATAGTGATGAGGAGATGCCCAGCACAGGGATGGGGATCGGTTCCAGGGTGGTAATGGCTATGACTCGGCCCCGGACTGTGGCCCTGCGATCGGCCACCTGCCGGGGCGACGCCCATGCACCGGAGCCTCCTCGCCTACAGCCGACCCGTATCACGAGGACGCACGATGAGGCTGCAAGGGCCTTGGCAGGCCGCTTCGAAGCTTTCCGAGCGGGGCGCAGCCAACGAGCGTGGCCAAGGGTGGACCGAGGAGGCAAGGATGCAAGGGTACCCTTGGGACCATTGCGCATCCTCACCTCGGTTCGGGGCCCTGACCCAAATGCCCCCATCTCCAGGGCCCCCGCCATGCCGCGCGCCCCCGACGTCACATTTGTTTCAGAACGTCGACCCTCTGAGGTCTCGGCCCGCTCCCCTGGACCAGTTTTCCATCCTGCGTCGTTTTTTGACGGCCCCGAGGGCCTGTAAGGGTGTCCAGAAGCCGAAAATTAGACAAAACCTCCCGTCTTGCCCGAGGGGGTCTGGGTTCGGGGCCCTGGCCCAAGGCCCCCCTCCCCGGAGCCCCCGCCGGGCCGCGCCCCCCCCCCCCCCTCTCGGTCGGAGCCCGCCCCTCCCCCCCCCCCCCCAGCCACACGGCCTACCCGCGAGGCCGCGCGAAGCCCCCCCCCGCCGGACTCCGTCGGCCCCGCCGCCCGGCCGGGAGCAGGAGCATGCCCCAGGACCCCCTCGCGCTGCGACAAAAAGCACGACGGGAGGTTTTTCGCTCCTCCTCCACCTCCTCTCCCCGTCGCTCGGACGTCGATTCCCTGTGCTTTTTGTCGGCCTTGTGCGTGGTGTTTTTTTCGCAGCATGATCCAGGATGCTCCTGAATAACCCCCGCCGAGAAAACGTGCACACGTTCGAGCGATACCAAGTCCTCCTCCTCCTCCTCCTCCTCCTCCTCCTCCTCCTCCTCCTCAGCGGAGCGCGCCCCTTCGCCAACCTGCTCCCGCCCGCCTCCCCGGCGCCTGGGGCCCTCGGTGCCTGCTCGCGCGCGCGCGCTCGCTCGGCAGGACGGGGGGAGGTTTTCGGCCTCCTCTGGGATGGGCGCGGGGGTTGCCAGGGGGATCAAGGGGGAGTCATCAGTGGACGCCACAGGGGCTAGACCTGGCCCAACCTAGCTGACAAGTGGGTTGCACATGCCCCCAGGGGGCTTACGGGGATGGGACAAATCCGCTGAGTGGGCGGAGCCCACTTAGCCTGGATCGCTATCCCCCCAAGTCATTGGTGGCATTAGCAACCAACTATAATGAACTAGGTCAGGCCAGGTGTAACCCCTTTAGCATCCACTGATACCCCCCCTATCCCCTCAGCAACCCCGGCGCCCATCCCAACAGGGGGTCCTTACCGGGCCCGAGAAGTGTCGAAGAACGACCCAGGCTGAAGAACCGCATTGGGAAGAAGGCGCGAGGTCGGAGGTCTGAGATTCGCTCATCGACACTTGCTCGCGCCGAGGTGGCCAACGCGCGCGCGACTTGACATGGCTGGGCTAAGAAGCCCAGGGCCCCCCAAACATCGGCACTTCCCCTGTACTTCCACCGCCTCCCGCCGACCTTCCGCAAGCGGGCCCACGGCGGCTTTCCTTCCGCCCGCTTCCTTCCTCCTCCTCCTCCTCCTCCTCCTCCTTCTCCTCCTCCTCCTCCTCCTCCTCCTCGTCCTCCTCCTCCTCCTACTAGCGAGGGCAAGCCCTGGCACTGCGAGCTCTGCTTCGCGCGGGCCGCTGCGCAGCTCCAGCCCCCAACGCAGGGGCGCGAGCCTGGCCAGGCCCTGGCGCCGTTCGTGTGTTCCGCCACGGCTCCTGCAGCGTGCTGCATCGTGTGCCACGCCAGGTCTGAGGAGCATATTAATTAGGGGGTTTTATAAGGAATTCAAAAAACCTGGTCTTGAGTAAGATCCGGGGGGGTTTGAATGAATTCAAAAAAAAACGGATATTATTCAAGGTCGGGGGTTTTTGAATCCATTTAAAAACACCGGATATTACTCAAGGTCGGAGGTTCTTTGAATTAATTCTGCAACGTGCTGTATCGTGTGCAACGCCAGGTCTGGGGAGCATATTAACTCGTATGAGGTTTAGTTCTTCGAAAACACGCAATGGGTGTCAGCGGCCCTATGCAAGAGCGACCTTGGGTACGCAACTCAATGGGGGCTGCGGGGGCGCCAAACCCAGGCGCGCAAGCCGCTGCTACAGCTTCGCGTTCAGCGATCGGGGGACCCCATTGGGCACGCACCATAGGTAACTCTGGCGAAAGGTCACTTTTTCGGCGGTGAGCGAGGGGGGGAAATGAGAAGGAGAAGGCCTTCTCAGAAGGTTCGGAAGTCCCCGGCCCCCTGAGAAGTTCTAAACCTTCCCCGAAAACCAACAGAAACTTCACAGAAGGCGCGAGGGCTTGTGAGAAGTCCCGCCGCCTTCTGAGAAGGCCTTCTTCGCTCGCTCTCCGCCGACTCGTGACGTCTAGTCGAGTTGTTAACTCATGACCACGGGGCAACATCCAGCTGCCCAGCCTGGCTGAGCCAGCTGGCGAGAGACTGAACGATGTCAGGAGCCACGTCGTGAATGCCGGTGGGGAGAAGCCTCAATACATTGTACGCAGGGAAAGCAGGCAACCTGGTGACGTTCTCGGGTATGTTGATAGGGGAACGAAAAATGGCATAAGCATCAAAACATTAAATGGACCCCGGAGCGCGTCAGGGGCGGCGCCGGAGGCGCCGCCAGGGGGCCCAATCGCCGATCCGAGAAATCCGCGAGGACCTCCGGGTTTCTATGTTTAAGCCATTCCTCGTTCCCCTAGCCGAAGTCACCCGCTTGTGAACGGAGGATGGACTCTTTTGCGGCAAGTACTGCGGAGGCCTTGGATGAGGATCCCAGGGTCTGAAAGCCAGTGGAACTCCAATTGTGGCTCGGCCATGGGTGACGCCGCCGCCCTCCTCAGACAAGGAATGCTCCAGGGTCTGTAGAGGCCTCCTGGATGGTGTCCGAGTGGATGGGGTCGGAGGATCGCGCCGCATCGCCGATAGATGGTCCAGGGCTTGGGCCCTCCCCCCCTCCCCCCCAATGCTGATGCCATTGGGCCCGCCCCCCCCCCTCGCGCGATGGTCCCCCCCGCCCCCCCCTGTGGGCGTTGCGTGGTGCTGCGCTGCGGTGCCCCCCTCCCCCCCCGTGGATGTGGTGTGGTGCTGTGGTGGTTCAGAGGTGGGCGTGGCGTGGTGCTGCGCTGCGGTGCCCCCCTCCCCCCCCTGTGGATGTGGTGTGGTGCTGTGGTGGTTCAGAGGTCGTCGTCGTCGTCGTCGTCGTCGTCGTCCTCGTCGTCCTCGTCGTCGTCGTCGTCGTCGTCGTCGTCGTCGTCGTCATCGTCGTCGTCGCCGTCGTCATCGTCGTCATCGTCGTCGCCGCCGCCGCCGCGTCGTCGCCGCCGCAGTCGTCGTCGTCGTCGTCGTGGTCGTCGTCGTCGTCGTCGTCGCCGTCGTCGTAGTCGTCGTCGTCGTCGTCGTCGTCGTCGTCGTCGTCGTCGTCGTCGTCGTCGTCGTCGTCGTCGTCGTCGTCGTCGTCGTCGTCGTCGTCGTCGTCGTCTCTGGGACCATACCTGGGGACCATACCATCTGGGGGGGGAGGGGGGGGGGGCCCGTGGGCCCGGAGCCCAGGATCATATACCGCCGATGCATCGGCGATGCATCTGCGATGCACCGGCGATGCATCGTCGGCGTCGGCGACGCATCGGCGACGCTGACGGGAAGCAGCTCGGGCTGCACATCGAGCCGCATCGGCAATGCCTCGCCGATACATCGGCGAGGCGGCGCGATCCTCCGACCCCATCTGCTCCGACCCCCTCTGGGAGGCCCAGAGTCTGGAGCCTCCTGGGCGCGTTCCTCAACCAACGCCCCCACCGAAAGCCGTATGAATGGGCCGTGCTTCTGGGACCCTGGGGACCTGGGATGGGGAGGAGGACGAGGAGGAGGAGGAGGAGGAGGAGGAGGAGGAGGAGGAGGAGGAGGGGAGGAGGAGGAGGAGGAGGAGGAGGAGGAGGGAGGAGGAGGAGGGGGAGGAGGAGGAGGAGGAGGGAGGAGGAGGAGGAGGAGGAGGAGGAGGAGGAGGAGGATGGGGGGGAGGAAGGAGGAGGAGGAGGAGGAGAAAGGAGGAGGAGGAGGAGGACGAGGGGGGGGAGAAGGAAGAGGAGGAGGAGGAGGAGGAGGACGAGGAGGGGGAAGGGAGGAGGAGGAGGAGGGGAGAAGGAGGAAGGGAGGAGGAGAGGAGGAGGAGGAGGAGGAGGAGGAGGGGGGGGGGGGGGGAGGAGGAGGAGGAGGAGGAGGAGGAGGAGGAGGAGGAGGAGGAGGAGGAGGAGGAGGAGGAGGAGGCGCAGCGTGAGCGCCAGGGAAGGCCAGCCGGCACGCGGAGCCCCGGCAGCGGGCGCGGAGCCCCTCCGCGCGCGGTGGAAGGCCGCGGGGGCCGAGCTGCAGGCGCAGGTCGGCATCCAGAGCCCCTCGGGCAACGAACAAAACCGACCCCTGCGACACCCTTGTCGCAGGGGTCGGTTGTCAGCTGGTTCGCTCCATTTCCCGCTTCACTCGATTGCGCCAATCAGATGAGGTCCTTCCACATCTTCGGCCCCTGGAGGCCCTCACCGGCTCTCGGCACCATCGCAGAACTGCCCAGGATGAAAAACCAGAGTCCTGGGGAGTGGGTCGAGACGTCCGAGGGTCGACGCTGTGAAAAAATCATAACGTCGGGGCTCTGGGAGCTCCGCGGACGTCCCAAGAGGCCCCCCAAGACGCTCCCAAAACGGCCCTCGAGAGGCCTCAAAACTGCCTCCAAGAGGCCCCCGAGAGGCCTCTCACCAGACCCCAACAAGTATCCACTAGGCTTATAACCCACCGCCCAGGCACGGGGGGGGACTTGCCGTAGGCAGCTGGATAGAAGCCCCCCAGGCGATCGTCGAACCGTGCTTCTGCCAAGGTGACAGACTGTTCGCCTGTGCCGGTTGGGCTTCGTCCCAAGATGGCGCGCATAGTAGTTCTGACAGCTGCGGGACAGCTTACGCATCCCCTCTCTCCCTCCCTTCACCCTGTCGCTCCACATCCGCATGATCCTGCCCCTCCTCCTGATCACCTTCCTCGCCCTCACGTTTCGTCGTCGCGTATCCAGAAGGAGCAGCAAAACTGCATGAACATAGACTTTCGACGGTCCGCGCGGATTTCTGGCATCTCCCCCTTCCTGGCGTGCGGAGCTCGCCAGCGAGGCCGCCAGGGGGTTCCAGGTGGAGCTCCAAGGTTAATGCAGCTGCTTCTTCGTCGATCCTTTTCAAATCCCTCGCCCTCACGATTCGTCGTCGCGCATTACTGCCTCCTTCTCCCTCCCCCTCCTCCCCTCCCAAACCCCCGTCCCGCTCCCTCAACCCTCTCGCTCCCGCTCTCTCTTCAGCCCTTCCCTCATGGATCGTGCCGCAGCCGTCCTGGAGCGTGGGCGTGGGTGACGCCAGCTTGAGGGACACGCCGACCTTGCTGATCATGTTCAGGTACCTGTGGATCTCGGGCTCCAGCTCCCCCCAGTTGCGAGTGCTGGCCCCGTGCTCGATCTCGGCGATGTCCAGGGTGGGCGCGTGGTCGAACCCCGCCGTCTCCTCCTCGGCCTGCTGCATCGTCATCCAGTTGGAGCTCTTGTTGCCGCACTCGCGGCTGAACGCCTCGAAGACGCTGGGCGCGTTGCGCTCCTTGAGGCTCGTCTCCCCGTCCAGCATCACAGTGGATATGAAGCACTCGGAACCTCCGGCGGGATGCATCAGGAGCAGGTCGGCCGGAAACGCGGTGTCGTTCAGGATGAACAGCACGTCCCCCACCAGGACGTCTTTCCACGTGACCCACTCGAACGAGTCCTCTTGGGCAACCGCGTGTCCTCCTCCTCCTCCTCCTCCTCCCCCTCCTCCTCCTCCCCCTCCTCCTCCTTCTCCTCCTCCTCCCCCTCCTCCTCCTCCTCCTCCTCCTCCTCCTCCTCCCCCGCCCGCGGGCGAGGCGAGGTCGTTGAGGGGGGGGGAGGGGCCGCCTGCCCCTGCGGGTCAGGCCTCAGAAACGCCGGCCAAGGCTCGGAAGCCGAATGACCGACCAGCCATAACTGGGGGAGCTGTGGCTCTTAACCCCCTGGGGGGACCCATCGCATCGACGATCTCTCTCGAGAGGTGTCGAAGTCGATGGGTCCCCCAGGGGGGTAAGAACCACAGCTCCCCAAATTGTGGCTGGCCTGATGATGTCTGCAGGCAGGTGACCCCCAGCGGGGCTTAGCCGCCCGGACATGCAATACGCAACCCACAGACGGAGCTCAACACGGAGACTGAAGGCGCACATTTGGCATCACAGGTTCGCCAGAGCGTGGGCCAACACGCTGAGCCAACGCGCGACGTGTTAACACAGGCGTTTTGAATACGGTACGTGTTGCGTTTCAAAACGGGCGTATCAGGGCAACTAAGCAGCGGGGGTGGTCGATACCCCAGCTTAGGCGCCCGAGTGGACGCCCGAGTTATCCGGGGTAACTCGGGCCCGGGGCAACTCGGGTTCGGATTCCCGAAAAACGAACCCGAGTTAGCCCTGACCCGAGTTACCCCTGATGATTCGGGGCTCTGACCAGCGTCGATCGGACCCGCATGAGTCAGGGTTCGCAAGCCGTCGGAAAGTCCTTGGCGCCGTTCTTGCCCTTCACGAGGCGCTGCACGGTCTGGGAGTTCTCGGCCTTGTCGTCACGGCGCCGGCGCAGGTCCTCGTACATGTCCTTGCAGGCGGTCCAGAACAGCACCAGGACAAACGGGCCCAGCTTGCTATGCCACGACTTGGGTGACCACGGGAAGCACACGATCACGCAGATGAACAGGAAGTATATGTTCGCGATGCGCTTGAACTGCTGCATCAGGCTCAGGGGGATCCAAGTCAACAGCGTGAAACGAGTGGTCCGCAGCGTGTTCGGCTTGCCCCCTCTGACCCTGTTGAGCTCGCCAGGAACCACGTCCACCCCATCCGGATGCATGGAGATCTTGCGATCGTCGCCCTGCACGATGACGCTGTCAACTGGCTTGAAGGCAACATCCGCCTCTTTGAAAAGGTACGTCCACTTCTCGGTATGGCTGGACGACGTACTGCGTGAGTGTACGCTGACGGCCGAGGACGAGTGATTCGTGCCCTTCGAGATTTTCGTGTTGTTGGTATCAGAAGAGAACACAGAATCCTTGCGCTGCATGCCATTCTGGTGCTCCCCGGAAAGCTCTTCGGAGCGCTCCCCCACGGAATCAGCCTTCCACATGGCGGAAGCGATTCGGCGACGAGATGGTATCTGAAGCGCCCGGGAAAATCGCAGAGTGGGAAAAAAGGCTGGTGGTCACGGCCTGGGCCCATTGGATACAGTCGAGGCGCTGACCTAAGGAACCCTATATAAGGAACGAGGCCCCTTTCTCTAACAAATTAAACCTCGATTTCCGATGGAAAACCTCAGGAAAACCCGAGGCAAACTTTGAAACAATCAAGGAACACCGAGCCCCTCCCCAACGAAAAGGATTCCTTCTTCAAGATCCCCACTGTACGCCCAGACGGCGAGGGCATCAGGACACGGAGCAGGATGAGGAAGCCGAGAAGCAGGAGGAAGAGGAGGAGGAGGAGGAGGAGGATGAAGAGGACGAGGAGGAGGAGGATGAGAAGGAGGAGGGGGAGGATGTAGAGGACGAGGAGGAGGAGGATGAGGAAGAACAACAGGAGGAGGAGGAGGAGGATGAAGAGGACGAACCATTCGAATCAGAAGATGGTGATGACCTGTTCCTCGACGCCAGGACAAAGCTGAAGGCAAATCGGTGATCTGATCCAGAGCATGGGTTTTGCCGCAGAGAGCCAGGAGGTCTTTGAAGGGGAACTGGGACACACCAAGAAATAGACACTAATAACCAGATCACCCGTATTTCCTCATATGTTCTGGATTTCTGTCGCCCCCCCCGCTTCCTATAGATTCCCACATTTCCGGGGGAATCGACGATTCACTGTGTCTGTGTGTCTCTTTCCCTCCTGCGTTTTGGCCTACCCCGCCCAGGGCCCGGCTCCGAGGCTGCTGGCACCAAAGGGGGGAGGGGGGGCCGGCGCTGCGCTGCAGCTGCCCCTGGAGCGCGCTGCGGGGGCTGCCACGCGGCGGCAGCGTGGCACCGAGCGGCAGAGGCCTCCAAGACGCCTCCAAGACGCTCCAAGAGGTCCTCCGCGAGAGCCCAAATAGCCCAAAGTCATGTTTTTTTTTCCTGGGTTTTCGAAGGATTCTGTTTTTTGCTAGCTTCCAGCCTTCCGACGGCCCGCGACGGCCCAAGAGGCCCTACAGATCGCCCCCAGATCCCTGCCCGTCGACCAGCTGGGCTCGCGCGCGCCAGGGGGCCCGTGGACCCACAGAGAGTGCTCGGAGCCCCCCCTGCGCCCCTCCCCTACCCGCACCCTTCTCCACTCGGGTCGGGCGAAAGGGGGGGATAGCAAAGGGGGGGTTTAAGAATCAGCTCACGCAGCTGCTTCTCCTGGCGCCCGCCGGCGCTGGAGGCGGCTGTGTATCGAGGAACAGGCCTCTCGGTGGGGCCGTAAGCAGCTGCGAGCAGCGAATTTCGTACCCCCCCCCTTTCGTCCGGCACGATCCATGCCAGAAGAGGGGGAGGGGCACGAGGAAACCCCTGGGACACGAGGGGGAGGGGCTCGCGGGAGCGGTTCGAGGCGGGCAGGTCCGACTGCGGGGCCCTCGGAAGCGGACTGCACCCGAACGGGATCTCGCGGGATCCGGACGGGTGAGGCGGCACCACGCCGGGTCGCGACGATCCTCTGCCGATAGGTGTACCAGCGCGGATGCTGAACCCAAAACCCCCTAGAGTTACAACCAGGGGGGGGAGAAAGCATCGAGTCAGATTCTTCTTCGGGTCCAAGACGGCCCCAAGAGTAGCCAAAATTGCCCAAGAGGCCCCGAAGACGGTCGAAGAGGACCCCGAGTCGCCGAAAGGTCGCTTCAAGACGACCACTATGGCCTCAAGGCGGCCCAAGATGTCCCCAAGCCGCCCGCAGAGGCCTCCAAGGAGGACCACAACAGGCAACAATCACCTATCTTCCCTGGGTTGTTCATAGATGTGTGCGTTCTCGCATCTTCTTCTTCCCGACGCTCCACGACGGCTCAATATAGGGGAACGAACAATAATGGCCCAAACATAAAAACTCGGAGATCCGCGAAGATTTCTTGGATCGGCGCTGGGGTCCCCTGGCGGCGCCTCCGGCGGCGCTACTGGCGCACTCCGCGCGCCAGGGAGGGGGGCCCAGCGCCGATCCAAGAAATCCGCGCGGACCCCCGAGATGTTATGTTTATGTCATTTGTTGCTTCCCTGCCACTAAGCCCCCAGGAAGTACCCAGAGGTACCCAAAAGGCTCCCCAGAGGCCCCTAAGAGGCCCCCAAGAGGCCTGCCCCCAAGAGGCCACCGACAGCGCTCTGAAGAGACCCTAAGAAGCATCCCTGAGAACTCTGACCCATCACCCAGACACGGTGGCGGGATGGGACGAAGGTCATTAGAAATCCGCCGCCCCCTGCTTGCAGGGGTGCACGGCGTGCTGGATGTTTCAGGTTTTGGTTTTGGTTCTTTTTCCAAAAGAACTCCCCAGTGGGCTCCGGCCCGTCCCGCCACCGTGCCCAAAAACGGCCATTTCGCTCGGGACATCCTCAAAAAATCGCGAAGATGGCCCAAGATGGCCTCCAAGTCCGCCCGAGATGGTCCAAGATGGCCTCCAAAACGGCCCAAGAGAGTCCAAGACGGCCCAAGACGGCCCAAGAGGCCCCCCAGAGGCCTCCCAGACGGCCCAAGAGGCCTCCAAGAGGTCCTCCAGGAGAGTCCGAAGAGGCCAAAATCATTGATTTTCCCTTGGTTTTTGAAGGATTTTGGCATTTGCGCCTTTTCGGCTCTCCGACGGCTCAAGACGGCCCAAGAAGCCCCCAAGATCGCCCAAGAGGCCCCCAAGAGAGCCCCCTGATGGCCCAAGTGGCCTCCAAGATGGCCCCTAGAGGGCCCCAAGACGGCCCAAGAGGCCTCCAACACGCCCAAGATGGCCTCCAAGACGCCCAAGATGGCCTCCAAGACGGCCCTGGAGCGCCCCAAGAGGGTCCCCCGTTGGCCCAGAAAGGCCCCCAAAACGGCTCCCGACGGCGTCAGACGTGCCAGGAACCCACCAAGATGGCCGAAGTTCGCTCGAAGCTGGCCCAAAAGGGCCCAAGAGGCCCCCAAGAGGGCCTCCAGGAAGGCCAAAAGATGCCAAAATCACTGATTTTCCAAGGTTTTTGATGGATTTGGGCATTTCCCTTTTTTCGGCCTTCCGACGGCCCGACACGGCCCAAGAGCCCCCAAAGATCGCCGAAAGATCGCCCAAGAGGCCTCCAAGACGGCGACGATGACCATCAAGACGCTCACGTGTTCCCCGAAGGCTTTCCAAACCGATTCGGGGAACACATGGTCCGATGGCTTGGCAGGTCTGGCCTCAACGTTCGGCCACATAGGCGCTTCCACAAAGGCAGGGGGCGGCGGTGATTCGCCGTAGGCGTCTTCGATACGAGTGCGGCTGCTGAACCTGAACCACCCATGACTTACAACAGGGGGGAGGTGGGGAAGAAGCATTACAACAGGCGGGAGGTGGGGAGGAAGCATCGAACCATATGTTTGCGATCTTTGGTTCACGGATGCTGCTGGATTTAGAACACAATCACACCTTTCAAGCACATGAGACCCTCTACTGGCCAAACTGAAGAAGTTTCGAGGGTACCCTCCCCCAGGATGCACGATATCCAGCAAGCACGAAGAACATCAAGGTACCCTCCCCGAACCGACCTCGCTCATACACCTCGCTCCGACCGTGTGCCAGCGCGAATGCCAGCCTCGACCTCCCGGGAGTCGCAACGGAGGGGAGGCGGGAACGAGGAAGGGAGAGGGGAGGCCGACGAGGACGGCGAAGACGGTGCGCAGCTCGCCTCTCTCGGGGCGGGGCGCGACGGTAATGGGAGGAGGGGAGGAAGATGAGAAGTAGAGAAGGACGAGATGGGAGGAGGGGGAGGAGAAGGAGGGGGAATGGGAGGATGAGGAGGAGAGCGATGAGATGGATAAGGGTAGAATTCTGAGCGGAGGCGTGGGTGTCCTGAAGGTTGACGACAAGTGAACCCGTGGCCTCCCATGTGAGGTGAGAAGTGCGCCCACTGAGCAGGGTGCTGGCGGACTGCGTCAGAGGAAAGCACAACAACTGCATGACCATCCACGGTCAGAGCTCCGACCAAATTTCCTGGATCGGTGCCAGACGCCCTCACTGGCGCGCGGAGCGCGCCAGGGGCGGCGCCGGAATCGACGCCAGGGGGGGCCTGCGCCAACCCCAGACATCCGCGTGGAACTTCGGAAGTTCATTGTCATAAAATTCGCCGACCCCGTCGGCGTGCATGCACGAAGGCCACGGGCTCTGACGTCAGCGGGTCTTGGGCCCTGGAGCCTCCCTCCGAGGCCAGCTCGTCGTCCTGAGCACATCTTGGAAGGATCCTGGGGCCCGCAGGAGGGCCCCGCGGCCCCGAATACTATCAAAGACCTCAGGGCCCGTTTCCCTCCGGACCCCTTTCCTGCAGCGCGAGCGCTGGAGGCTGAGCCACGTGGCTCGAAAGCCTGGCGATGCCAGAGATGAGCCACGCCGACAAGTCGAAAGTCTTGGCCGAGAGTGCCGTACTCCCTGTCTGGCCGAAGGGTTGGCTCGAGAACCCCCTGGGCGCCCAACTCTCGACCTCGCGGATGTGAACACAACGCCGATGCAAGAAATCCGCCCGTACCTCGGAAAGCTCATGCGTATGCTGTTGTTGTTCTCTTTGAGAGGAGGGCGATGGCGAGGAAGGCGAGACCATCGGGCTCAACATCGCGCCGCATCGCCTATGCTCCGACACCACCCCCTCGGACCCCTGGAGAGGAGGGCGAGGGCGAGCAGGGCGAGGGTGAAGGGGCCCTGGGACACGCAAGTAGATACACACATAAACATATCCCCCATATTTCCCATATGTTCTAAGCTTTTGTCTTCCCCCACTTCCCATAGTTTCCCATATTTTCCTGGGAATCGACGATTCAGTGTGTCTGTGTGTTTTTGTTCCCTCCCGCGAGGGGAAGAATGAGAACGGCAAAGAGGGCGAGGCCGAGGAGGGCGAGGAGGGCGACACAGGACCAGCGGCGTCCCCCCGAGCTGCGCGGCACCGCGCGCGCGCGCCGAGCGCCACCGCGAGACCCAACGACGGGAGG